TAGTGCAGTCTTGAATACAGCAACATACAAAGTTCAGTGTTTCATTTTTTCAGTGTTATTGTACACTTTGAATTTCTCCTTTCCCATTTTTAGGGATGTTTACAGATCCCCTTTGGGCTTGATCTTGCAAATGCTGATGCATGTATAACAAAACGTAATTAAACCCTCGTTTGGCCAATCCATCTCTAGATATTAATTAGCACTAGGTTTGAAAGTTTGCTTGGAGGAATTAGCTCTAAACTCATAGAATAACCTGGCTTTCATTAAGGAAGTAATTTGGTAAACATTCTTTGAGCCAGAAAGGGGATAGGTGACAGATTGATGTGTTTTTCTGCTCTGGAATTTCTTCCACAGATTTCTATGGAAAGCCTCTGCCCCCGCTGACTCTACGCCAAAGACCCAACAGTGATACCCATGATGTCATTGCTTAACTGGAGCACAAAGAGAATTTTAAAAAAGCATAAATTAAAAAACCTATCTTTTTTTAATCCCTTGAAGGAAATTTTTTTTATGTGACATTTTATCAGCATGTGACAACTAAACACGGAGTTCATCCTGTCGTGCTTAATGGTCAGACTTTATCATTTACTTTTCACATCACCAGCTCTTCTTCAGGATTTATGTGGTTTACTTGTGAAAAGACATGGCTGTAAGCCTGAAGAAAAACACCTTCAAGATCCCATAGTACTGGATTGTACATTCCCACCGAGACCTTTCTCCAGGTGCTGTGCAGGTGTTGGTATTTTTTCAGGGAATAAATTATTCTAAAGCGTTTTGTAAGATTCCTGTATGATAGGGTGAATATAGAAAGGTTAAACAAATATTGAATATATTTTTCTACCTTTTTATAAAATGAGTTGAAAGTTTGAATGGAGCTGTGTACCTACTACCAATGAAATGATACCTAGGGAGCATTATAAAGCTGATAGTCAAGTGCATAAAAGTAAAATGTGTTTGACTCTTAGTTCTTTTACAGTACCTGTAATTTTTCTTAGGTATTACACTACATATTTAATATTTCTGACAATCTGAAGCAGAGGGTACGATAAAAAAATGAAAATAAATATATTTTATACAAAATAATGCTATTTGAACTATCTGGAAGTTTTCTTACCTGATGTTTTCTTTGTTTTGTTAACTGAGTTTGACATAGGTAATAAATTCTGTGGAAAAAAATAGAGTGAATACTGTATTGTCTAATACAACAAACAGGAAAATTCACATAGTGGGAAATTTGCACTAATTAAGTCATCAATTTTGATAGGAAACTGAATCAACCAGTATGCAGATGACCACCTCCCTCAGGTTTTAATCTCAATAATACTAAAATATCATCTTGCAAAGTGAAGAAACCCTAGGTTTTTAAGGATTTCTTTAACACTTCCATGTAATGTGTTGAAAATCACATACCAGTTATACCTAAACAAGAAGGGTTGCGATTTGTTATATTCCTGTTTAAATGTTTTTACTGTTACATTGGAGACAACCAGTGGTGTATTTGTAAAGGTCCATTGTTCTGCCACTTAATGACAGACAGGATGAAGCCCCCATCCAGGGGGTTTTCTGGAGAAGCAGTATTTGATAATTTTATGTTATGGTCTGTCATCAATAATGTGGTTTTACCAAAGGAGTTTAGATGTTGAAACAATGTGGTGTATTACGTGTTCAGCACTTTGAAATCCTTGCCATGCCCCCCTTGCAGCAAGGAGGTGAACAAACATCTGCCATATTAAAATGAAATAATTAAGATTTTTAAATAGTAAGGTGGAATCAGTTTTAAGGATACTAAGTTTGGAATAGGTGGAGAGGTTTATTCCTCTATGTTTGCTAGTTTAGAGAAAGGAGGAAACAATTTCGATGTGACTACCAGCATGAGAATACTTTTGTTGTATTCTAATACTGGAACATGATTCAGTTGAATTATTCTCAGGATTTGGTCATTTTCCCTTCAGACAACACAATACTATGTGGAGGGGAGGTTGCACAAAAACATACATGTGCAATCTCCACTTGACTAACACTAGCTCTGTTACCACTTAAGTTTTTGGCTTAAAGGTCCTACTTTTGCAGACTTACTTTTTTACAGCCTCACTTTCTAGGAATGTATTACACTTTTGTTTTCCCTCTTTCCTACAATAAATCATGGAAGTTTTTATTAAAAATAAAGCTAAATACTGCTGTGGTAACAAATTTGAGAAACTAAAATGTTGATGCTTATATATGAACTGTGTGTTGTGTGTGTGGACACATGTATCATTTTTGATTTTTGCTTTTAAAATAAATTTTACCAGTATGTGACCAATGTACTCAAAAATATTTTATAAGTTTTTGTTTATTAATATGCTTTGTAATTATTTACTATGCTGGGGGTTTTTTTTCAGTAATTTATACTGCTATGACTTTTTATTTGCTCAAGATGACATTTATGTATAGAATAAAACTAATGTAAAGCCTCAACATGTTTTCTGTGTTTACAGTTTTGTGGAAGTAAGTCTAGCCTATAAATATTTAAGGGCTACAAGTCTCACATTCCTAGAATTCATGAAATAGAGTCCTAATAGATGGAATCTTTGCATATTTTTGCAGGAGAAGTGTGATCAAATTTAGAATATACTGATAGATTGGCAATGAGTTGAGTGTATATGTATACCTATAAAGAGCTTTGATAGTGCACTTTAAATAAAAGTTGTGCAGCTAAATTGAGAGCACAAATTAGATTTTGCCAGACTTTTTGTCATCCATATAATCACTTTAGAAATATATCAGTGCATGCACTAAGAGTATTTGTATTTAAATACAGGACTGTTAAGAACACAGAAATTCACTATTTAAGCAGAACATTTTGTGTTATCTGTATCTAGCATCTTGAATACATTTTAGACGAAATATTTTAGAGGCAAGTTATATTCTAAGAAGGAATAGTAATGTTCATTAACTGAATTAATGTGAGAGACTCAGTGCTTCAAAATAAGTTGTTCAGTTGTCTTCCCTTTTAGTTACATCCTAGAATCCGGAGGAAGACCTTAATTATAGATTTTGAGGTTTTTAAATCAAAATTATTAAAGATATACATATTTGATATCCATTAGGTCTCTGGTGTGAGATTGGAAAGGACTGATGGACCGTTACAAGGTAAACATTGATTTTTTTTTTTCCTTTAAATAAGATTCAAGCAGTATTTTTTTCAGTAATATATTCCAGTATTTTAGTGGGAGGTTTACTACTGTAACATCAGGATGCTTGCCCAATAACATTGCCATCATGTTAGCTTCTTGGCTTCTAGGATTCATTCAATTTGAAATACTTCACTATTTTGAATAGAACATACCCACCAGCATTTCATTTGTAAATGGAATAAGTAATAGAGCCTGTTGTAAGTGTAATTTGAGGTAAGTTTATCTGCAGTAGCACATGAGAGTGACACAAGATGCATTATTGCTGTTTGCAGTTTGGCTGTGATGTGGTGGTGCTGATGAACTGGAGTCCTTTCTTTGGTGGAAGTCTGGTGTCAGACACATGGCACTATCTGTCATATAGTGGAAGATAGCCATAGATTGAGGGGAAGGTGACTCATTCAGCAGACCTTTTTGTTATACTGTTACAGTAAAATTCAATTCTTGTGTACATTTTCTGGTATGGTACTGGCCTTGGTAGAATTACAACCACAGAGAACTACTTTTTATACCACTTTTGTTCTGTGTCTATGTGTAAAACTCACTTATCAAAAAGCCTTTCAGGTTTCCTTCATGTTTGATATTAAGAGGTCTCTGTTTTGCCTCCAGGACCTTGGTTACAACCCTGATAGAAGCATTTTAAATCAGCTTTCAAGCTAATCTGCATGAGGTGAGCAAAACCGCTTAGTCTTCATTAGCTGGTGCCTGAAACTCAAATATTTATCCATACAGCAACACTCCTGCCTTTACCTTTGCACCCCTTTCTAGTCTGGATTTCAGAGGCTGGGTTCAGCCTGCAGAAGCTTTAATTAAAACCACTCTTAAACAAGTTTGCTGCTTCCACACGGCTTGATCTTAGCAAGAGAGTTGGCAAATGGGCACAAAAGGGTTTGTGGGGATTTGTTTTATTTTGCTAGGACGCTGATTGCAGGATGCCCTTCCTTGGAGGAGCAGTTTGCAGGTCTCAGTTCTGTCCAGATGAAGGGATCGGATGAGAGCAGCCTCTGATTTTAGTGCTGCTAAACCAGGGACAGCTGAACTGGGGTACAGTGGTCCTTCTGATTCCTGTCCCCCAAAAATGTTTGATCCTGAACGTGTGTGACAGAAATTTCTGTGAATAATTAATTCTCAAGCCTCCAGCAGTTTTTCATGGCAGCAGCAGTGGGTTAAGCTAGAGCTGATCTCCAGTGTGGTTCAGATGAGCTGAGTACCACTTCTAAAGCCTTGGGCCAGACAGGAAAAAAGATCTGGTGAGGCACAAGCAGAAACCTGATATTTGGGGGGGTGTGGATGACATCAGACCCTCCAGCAGGTGCTTGGGATGAGGTTCACTTTTATAAATTGATTAAGTAGGAGCCGAGGTGCTGTCTAATCCTGGTTTGGCTACTGCTGAGGCAGAGGAGGTGGGATGGCAAGTCAGGCTCCCATGGTAAAAAAAAAAAAAAAAAGGCAGCTAAAAATTAGGAAGTTTAAGGGTTTTTTTTGTTGTTTGTTTTTGGTGGTTTTTTGGTTGTGTTTGGTTGGTTGGTTGGTTTTTTACTGTGAGAGTAGTGAGACACGGCAATGAGGTGCCCAGGGAAGTTGTAGGATGCCTCAAACCACAGCAGAGTTCAAATCCAAGCTCGGTGGCGATTTGAGCATCCTCCAGGGGGTTGTGTCCCCGCTCCTGGCCGAGGGGTTGGGACCAGCCGATCTTTCAGGTCGGTTCCTGCCCCTCTACGTTCCGTGGCGCTGTGAAGAGCTCTCATTCCCAGCCGCTCACCCGGCAGCGGCGGCACCGAGCGCGGGGGCCGGGCCGCGGCCGCCCCGCCCCGGGCAGCGGGGGCCATGCGGGGCCCGGCGCTGCCGCTCGCCCGCCGTGCCGGGGCCGCGCTGGGGCTGGGCCGGGCGGTCGGGCAGGACCCGGGGCAGGTGAGATGGGACTGGGGCTGTGGATGGGGCTGGAGCCAGGCCGGGCGAGCCGGGGCCGGAAGCGCGGCGGGAGGGGCCCAGCCGCTTCCTGCGCGGGCCGTGCGAGGAAAAGACGGGAAAGAGGCGGCCCGTCCCGTTGGCGCTGCCCGTGTCCCTCCTCCGCAGCACCGAGTGTGCCCTGGGTTTCTGTACCCACGGCCGGCAGCTGCTCCGGCACTGACAGAGCTTTCCGTGGTGCCCGAGCTCTCTCCCGGTGCTGCTTTTGGAAGGAGCGCGGTGGGACGGGACGGGACGGGTGCTGGGTGCCCCGAGGGAGGGAAATTGAGCGTTTGCCCTCGGGGTTTGCTTAGGAACCAAAAGCTCTTTCCCTTCCTTTCGTAGGGTAAACTCCATCAGACTGTTAGGGTTATCAGCACAGTGTATATGGAGGGGTATTTATTAACCAGCCGAGCAGGGAGGAATAGTGTGCTGTAGCTTAACTCCTCTGCTCTCTGAAATGTCTATTACATCTTCATCACATGAAGATGTGATATTTAAGCATTCTAGTATCACTGATACTAATATTAAGCATTCCAATAACAGTAAGTTGATGTAATTAGTAAGATTTTTTATTAATTTTAGTGAGAACTAGAGAGGGTTTAATTTGCTTAACTACTTTTCTTTTTTCTTGCTTTCTCTGAAGCTGGAAAAGAAGGCAAAAGGGAAGCTCCAGAAGCAGATCTGCCAGGTGGTTCTGGATCACTTCGAGAAGCAGTACACGGCAGAGCTGGGAGATGTATGGAGCAGTGTCAGGTCTGTGGCTTTGCGGACATGGAAGGAAGGGGAGAGATAAGGAATTGAATTAGTAATGACACATGTGGTGAAGGCTGTCACTAAATTTGGGTCTTGATCACAAGCTGCTAAAGAACTTCATTATTAAAAAACAAAAAGTGTCGATGCATAGCATTAGTTTAATTGAGTCAACTTAAAAGCTCTTTGATTGGATCAATGTGTTTTTCTGCTTTAGGCAGTGAATACTTCTGAGGAATTTTTTTTTTTTTAGATTAAATGAAAAATTATTAATAGGATTTCAAACAGAAAGGGGGAAATCCATGCAAGAAAGAGCAAACTGAAATACAAGCAAGCATGTTTCTATCACACACCACTGCTGTCTTCCAAAAATATCTGTTGATTTCAGTTTTACTGGCCCAGTGTTTGCAGAACGTAAAATGTAAAAAAGAACACTTGTGAAAATGGCATTTTAGTGTTGGCTGGAATGAGCATTGTAAAACCAATGTGTGTGTGATTATTTTTGTTGTTTACAGCTAATATTACAGTTATTTTTTGTCCCCAGGGAAGTACTTTATAGTTAGGAAAACCATTCTGCTTCATCATTTATATCTCCTACATAAAACAAAAAAAATGGACAATGTCTTGTTTCAGAAGAAATTGGTGCTTTAAATGCAATAATTAGAAAAAAACAGTAGCTTGATTTTCTATTAAAATTATTTTCCTGTGTACTTTTCTAACCAAAATGATTAATTTCGCCCTCAAAGTGATGAATTCCTGATTACACCAGAATTATCCAATAGTGAGATTGTAAGTAAAGGCTTCCTACACTGTTTCATTTGATGGGTTATTGAATGGCTTTTCCTTTTTCCACCCTAGAGACGTGCTGACCTCACCGTGGTGCTGGCAGCATGCCATGCTGCTGAACAGGTTTGTGACAAACTGAATGCAGTTTGTACAATTTTTTAAAGTTTAATAATAGTAGGAAAAGAAGGACAATATTTACAGCCGGAGAATACTTCTGTGTATACAAACAGTGTTATCTTTATACTGTTACATTGCTGAGGTACATGCATATTTGTGTGTTTCATATAATATTCAAACATTCTTGGGAAGTTTCTGATGATTTGGGAACTCCTTTGTTAGACTTCTTCACACACTGCCTTACTTGCATGACATTCTGGGTGTCAGGTCAATATCTTTTATTTCTTCTTTTGTCTCCATCCTGCTGTTTCACATCCCCTGATAAGAATTTAGTATGTCCTCCTTAAATTTAGCATGGTATCTCTAATTGTCCTCTGGTGCTGTGGTTTGTGTCATGGTTATCTTACCACTTGGACAGGTTGGTCAGTGGATGGCCTTAGACTGTTTTTAGTTACACAAAAGCCTTTTTCATATCTTATGTTTTGCTGAGGTCTATAATATAATACATTAATCACACTATTATTTCCATAAGTGATACATAGATAATCTATTCATTACAGTACTATTTCTGTGAGCAACAGGTGCAAACTTAAACTGATAGATTCTATTATACTAAAAGCAGCTAAAAAAGAGTTATAATTGATATTATTATAATTGATACTATTATAATTGATACTTGTAATCACTAACAACATGTATAAGCTAATACATAAATGTGAAAGCCAATATTATCTGGTCATTTTTCACAGGTTCAGCCAGAGCCCTGGCCTGGAGAGCAGCCTGGCTGAGCAGGGATACCATCCTGCCTTCCCAGCAGCCCTGCCCTACCTCCCTGCAGCCTTCAGGTGTTACACCAGGACAGCTCCTGGCAGATTCCCTGCACAGAAGCACCAGCCTGGCAGGCTGAAGGAGTATTACCTGCTCAATGCTGCCTCGCTGCTGCCCGTGCTGGCCTTGGAGGTGAAGGATGGGGAAGATGTTCTGGATCTCTGTGCTGCACCAGGGGGCAAATCTGTAGCTATCCTGCAGTGTGCCTGTCCAGGTAATGGAGCCAGGTGCTGGTGAAGGAGGAAAAAACCAAACAACAGTTTGTGTTCCACCTAGTTCTGTGCTGTTTCATAAGGATTTTATGAAATCTGTTTGCCTAAAAGAGGATTAAAAATGCAGTCCTTGCTTTAAGGTAGGTCACTGCAGAGTGACAGGCAGAAGTAGAGTAGCTCTGTGGATTTTTCTCAACTATTACCTCTTCAGAAGTTGCTTAAAGCCATATCAGTTTGTTGGCACAGGGATGTAAGTAATCTGCAGACTTGTTCTTGTCCTTTTTTACTTTTTTTTTCGTTCTTCTCTGTTGCCTCTTTTGCCAATACTGTGCAAACACTACAGGTAAATTTAAGTGTGCTGATGTAAAGCAGAGCTTAAGAAATTATGCCAGATGCAATCTTGAAATGTGCAAGATCTGGGCAAAGAGAGAACATTTATGGTAAGGAATTGGTTGGAGGAGGATTCTGAGATGATCAGAGTGTTTAGAAGGCAGCAGCAGCTTGGGACAAGGAGTTCAAGCAAGCAGGGATTGCTGTTTCCCAGTTTATTTGATGGCTTGGGTAATAATTGTTTCAAAATGCTCACAGCACCTTGTGCTCCTGCTGGTGAGACCATTACTATAACCACCTGCACCAGCTGATTACAGCTGGTTTCCCTCCCTTCCTTTTCTAGAGGAATGGGGAGATGCTAGTGAAGTAAATTAAATAGGAATTGTCCTTTCAGAAGGTTTAGAGAAAAAAAACCCAACACTTTACCTTCTCTTTGCTTCTGAAGAGACCAAAATGTTGCTGAATGGGAGATGTGAAGAATTTTATTCTGAACATACCACAGTGGATGCTAGGATGTACCTTAAGATAGACAAAATTGATGCTTTATTTATTTAAAAGGCAGTTTAATAATATGGAGCATGCACTTCATTTAGATGGTGGCTCAAGGAGCCCAGGAAGGTACTCACTCTTTGGATATAGGTCATGATTAAAGTTTGTTTTACTGTGGAACTCTGTTGCTACAGAAGGATTTGCTAGTAAATATTTAGGGTTTGCTCTGTAGGAGCATGTTGAAGTTTATTTAGGTTTATAAAAATTCAGTAGTATTCTTTAAAAGTGCAATAACACAGGCACATAAGGTATAAACTTCATGGTAGTCATTGAAATGCAGTAGAACTTCTAAAATGGGTCTAACTCCTTATAGCTGTAGAAACAAAATAGAAAAAAACTATATAGAGACCTATCTTTGGGTGTTTACTTCTCTTTGGGTTTTTTTGTTTGTTTGTTTTTTCCTTAATTTTCTAAGGTCATTTTCACTGTAATGAATATGATGATTTGAGGTCAAGATGGTTGGAGCAGACAATAGAATCCTTCATCCCTGATCCTATTATTAACTTGATAACAGTCTCTAAACTGGATGGTAGACAGATTGGAGATCTTCAGCCTGAATTTTATGACAAGGTAACATTATTATTGGCAAATTATATTTTTGCATTCTGATTCTTCTTACTCTGTTGCTGTCTTTCTAATTTTCTTTTTTTTTAAATTTTTTTCTGGGCCCCCCACAAAAATACCTGACTGTCACAGGGAATAAAATAATGTACAGGATTTGTTGAGCTTCAGGAAACACTTTATGAACCTTGTACATTTATTCCTGTGTTGGATGATGCTGGGAATGAATTCTGAAGACCTTGTAGCTGTAATTTTTGCATGATGTGTAATTAGGAAGGGGAGGACAACAAGAGGGAGCTGCTCAGGTAGATCTTACTTTCAGGGCACTATTATTTTATTTCCCCAACTGCTAACCCTATAAAAACATCTAAAATAGTAATGGGATCATTTCACCCCCAAAATGGAAAATAAAATTTTCTTAATATTTGCAAAAGAAAGTTGAATATATTTTGGCACACGGTGTTCAAAAAGTGACCATCCTTGTTGAGATTTTGTCTAATTTGATTTTATTAATTGTTTAGGTCCTGGTTGATGCTCCTTGTTCAAATGACAGAAGTTGGCTCTTCTCTGCTGACCCTCAGCAAGCTGTGCTCAGGCTCATGCAAAGGAAGGAGTTGTCCTCCCTGCAGTTCCAGCTCCTAAGGTGAGAAGTGCAAAACGGTAAAGGAACTTCCTGTAATTAATAAAAAGTACATGGGAGCAAGATTTAATAAACCAACCCAGGATTCCTCCTCTGGAAGTAATGTCAGGAATATATGGTTGGGATGCTGTTTAGAGTAGCCAGTGGGTCTGAGATAATGAGGATGTGGAAGTATCTGTGGGTGATATCAGCAGTGAGGCCTTGGTCCTCTTAAGTCACTCACAGGAACGTCCATTTGCAGATGACTCACAACAGCCTGGTGTAAAATCAAAATATTTTAGGTGGACACAGCTAAAAAGGGTTTAGATATCTTCTATATTGATTGTGTAGCACAGAAAGGCTCCCAGTCCTAACTGGCAGGGTAAAAAAGTTAAACAGTGTGAGGTTTGGTGGGGGAAAGAGAGGATTGTTTGGTTTTGAGAACACGCCCCCAGTAATCCAAGGCCAGGCTGTCGTGTATTACACATTTTAATGCTACCAGCTATGGGCTGATATTTGTGAAGCATTTCAAACTGCGCAGTTTTTCTCATGGGGGAAAAAAAAAGAGTGACTTTTCAATAAAACCTTCTAAAATAAAACCTTGAATGTTATTTGTGGAGTAACAGTCATGCCTGAAGTCCATCTGTCAAAGCAAATTGAGGGAAAAATAACATATTATAAGAAAAAAAAGGAAAATTTTTATGGAAAGTTCCCATTGCAGTTCAAGATCGTTTAGCAAGACTTCCAGTTGTAAAAGGCCTGGCAGAAGCCTGTGATTTATAACAGAAATATGAGGATCTTATTGCAGTAATGCATCATGTCATCCATTTCCTTTGAAGACATCAATCACATTTAAAACACTGACCTGTTCCAGTTTTCCCTTTTCAATATCTGACATGGAAAATCCAATTTGTGAACCTGTAGCAAAAGGAAGCATACATCATGCAGAGAAATTTTGAGAATTTGCATAAATCATTCCACATTGTAATCCTGGAGAACTCATGACAGCAGAAACCTTGTTTTTTGTTGTTTTTTTTTAAATACATTCCTGTCAGCCCAAATCAGATTTAATTGAATTATTCCTAAATAGAGAGAGAACTTTCTGTTGAAAATGTTCTTTACTTTAGCAAAAGAAATAAGAATTTGTAAAGACAAAATTCCTTTGCTATATAAATTAGTAAAATACCTTTGCTACATAAACTGTAGTAAAAGGATGATTACTTTCCAGAGTTAGAGTTTATAAGGGTTATTGGTAAAGTATATATGGCTTATTGATTGGGTATTTGTGTTACTGGGTAAAATATTTAAAGGATAGCTGTCCACTTGGTTATTGTTCAATTTACCTGATCACTTTAGAATGAATTCCCAGTTCTAAAGACATCTCAGATCCCATGTGAAAGGGGAAAAAGGAAATGATAAAGCAAGATCACAAAAGGCTGAATGGATTGTGACAAGTGTATTAGAACTAAAATTCTGGAATGCTTCCCTATTCAAGCCTCTGTTTAATGACTAGAGTGCATAATTATAAATAAAAAGCTGAGTTTTAATCTCTTTTCCAGTACTTCCAGTAATATTCAGGCGGGCTGAGCCTCCATGAATATTACTATTAAAAAAAAAAGAAAAGGAAAAGCTTTACTGCTTTTTACACAGCCAGCTCATGCAGGGCTTTCTTTGGTTCATTGATTCAGGTTACCTGGTGCTTGATGCTCCCAGGGGTTCCTGACCTTGGTTCCTGTATCTGTAACCAAAAACAAGTGTAAGGCTGAATCCCAGCAGTTTTATTGAGAGTAATGTAAGAAATCCGTTATAAGAACTGGAGTGACAGGACAAGGGGAATGGCTTCAAATTGAGAAGGAGTAGGTTTAGATGGGACAGCAGGACAAAAAATTCTTTACTGTCAGAGTGCTGAGACCCTGGCACAGGTGCCCAGAGAAGCTGTGGCTGCCCCTGGATCCCTGGGAGTGTCCAAGGCCAGGCTGGACAGGGCTTGGAACAATTTGGGATAGTTTTGGGGATTGGACTGGAAATGGATGATCATTAGGTCCCTTCCAACCCCAGCCATTCTGTAATTTGAAAGTGAAGCTTGAGGGACCAAGCATTATTTCAGTTTAGCAGAAGGATGAAGTGTAACATAAAAATGAGAAGAATGAAATGCAAAGTGGAGTTCTATTTTTATTTCTGTCAAGCAACAGCCTAAAATTTGAGATTCCCTCCTTCTTAATGAAGGAAACGCTTCACCTCTAACTTGTTTTTATGGATCTGTTTCTGAGGAAGCTGGGGTCATCAAAGAGGGAAGTTAAGGAAGGAAAAGTAGGGTTTGCAATACAATGTAATTAATTAAGTACATAGAGGCTTCAGAGAATGAAGATCTGGAAGAAGCTGATGCAACAATTTTCTTCCTGCAGCCTGCATAAAATCTGAAATGTAAATAAGTGATATAAATGCTGAACAGCAAATGTTCTAAGCAATGCGGGCACCACTGATTTCAAGGAAATTGAGATTGTAATGATTGTTCATACCCAAACCAAAGCATCCCTGCTGAGTGCTCTAATCCAAGAACACACTGCAAATCTTGTTAGTATTTGGAGTGTTTGTGCAGAAAACAAATTGCAAAGTTAAAAAAAAAGAAATATTCACTTCCTGATGCTAAATGCTAACACAAAATACAGTGGTTCCCAAAAGCAAATTTACCAATGTTATCAGTTCTCAGAGAGAAATTAAATTTTGGGCTAAGCTTGAATACCCGATTACATAGTGGTTAAACTGTTATGGATGTTGTAATTATTCTTAGCCTGGTTTCTGCAGCTGAAAGGAACTTGTGTTAGGGCTCAGCAGAACAGAAATCCCACAGAATACAATTTAGAAAACTCAGCAAAGGCATTCAGACTGCTGGAACTCTTCTATACACAGCATCTCTGAGTAATTAAACAGCTCTGTATTCTCACTGAATTGTGGGGTTTTCCACAGGAGAGAAATTGTGTGCTCTTAGCTGGGCTTTTTTGTGGTTATAGAGTGAATGCAAAAATTGTGTTTATAAATATAATATCATATATTTAGCATATGTCACAATTTCTGCTGTGTGGAGTAAATTGTGCTGGGAATTGCTTCATCACATCTTCAGCTCTTTCCCCTGCAGTTTTTCCTTCTGCTCCTCTGTAGCTGCCCAGTTAATCCTTTTATTGTCCAAAACCATCTTCTCTATTAGCTCCACTGGGAATTTTTGAGAATTCCAGCTGTTGGACCAGCAAATCTGCTGTGGGTTGTGTGGATGGTAGGATTCTTTAGCCACTTTCTATCCTACAAAAGCTAAATATTTTGTGTTTGTGCTGTGCCATTCCCCAAAACACTTTTGATTGGGTTGTTGGAGGTTTTACGTGGTTGCTTGGAATTTCTTCACAAAGAGTGAATGCTGTGGCCACTGCAGTGGCTCCAGGTATTCCAACAGGTGTTCCATCATGTTTTATATTAAAATAATTGGTTTCTGATTTTGAGCGTGGCAGCACTCTGTGAGTCCACTTATGGATCAAGTCCCTTAGGATATATTGCAAAGCCAGGTTTATTGAATATATAAATAACTGTATGACTGAACAAATAAGCTACTCAGCAGCTTTTTGGGATCACATATTTGAATTCAGGCACAAATTTTGCTTTAATTCCACCTTCAGTCCTTTCTCTCTGTGTTTTATGAGCTGTGAGGATAACCACCAACCCTAAAGTTCTCTTTAGTGGGCTTCAAAAGTCTTTCATTCTCCCTTCTGGGCTGTCTCATATCCCTGTTTTAACAGGATGAATATTCCAGAAGTCACCATGCAATAAAGGAGAAAGATCAATAATTCTAGCTGGTTTTTTTGTCTTTGCTTTAGAATAATTTAGAATTATTTGCAGTAGAAATGTTGCTTATTTTGGGGACAAATTTTGTCTAGGGTAAAACAGACTTGGGTTTTTTTGGATTTGTGGGTTTTCGTTGTTTAGTTGAGAGGGGCTTGATGCTTGTATCTCCTTTTACTTATAATTCAATTTAATGTTGAAAAACGCAGTGGATTTTCATGGTTCTCCTGTTACTCTGAGCTGCAGTGTTTCTCCACAGGAGCAAATTTTATTTAGAGAGGAGCAGAGGGAGTGCTTGAACTACTGTCACTGCCCATCACAAAGTATTAAAAAAATTGGTATTTTGACACCAAAGGATTTCCTTTATCATTTTGTCCAGGTTCAAAGAAATAAAAGCAAAACCTTTAACATGCGGGTCATATTGCCACAAAGTATCTGGGCTCTTGTGAGAAGCAAAAGGTAATGTGGATATTTTAAATCAATAAAAAGAATAGAATTGGCATTTTTTTATTCTGATGAGACATTATCGTGCCTGCTGAGCAGAAATACATAGTAGTTGCCAAAAGATGGCACTGTTGACGTGTTTTGCTAGTTTAAAATTGCCCTAAAATTGTGTCATCTTTAAACTTTAATACAGAAAATGGTCGAATTATTAACATAATTAATGCTGCCCCTTCCCATGGCATGCAGCATAAACCCACGTGCCAGAGGATAGGCTGGACATGCAGGTGCTACCTATAGTGTGAAATACATATTTTTGTGTCTGCCCAATTTTAAAAGGATATTTGAGACACCCAGACTTTTCTCTGTCAGTGGGAAAAATCCTTTTTAAGTCCTGGCTAACTACATATTAGCTGCATGGAAGAGTTTTTTGGGGTTGTCACATGGCTTTAGCAAGATAATTTTTTTCCCCTGAGATATTAAACAGTAATGCTGTTTTGTTTTCCCTAATTTAGTAAATCTTGAGAAATAAACTAAAAAAAAAAAAAAGAGCTTTGAAATAATATATTTCTTTCCAAAGTCTTTTCAGGTATTCCTGTAATACAGGGAGTTAGGATAGATTAATGCATCTGTTGTACCTCTGACTTCCACAGTACAACATGAACCTGTACCTAAAGACACATCCTGCAAAAATAAAAATATAAAATATTTATTTATATATAAAATATATATTTAATATAAACATATAATATTTTTACTTGTTTTTTGTTAGTGCTGTAAAGTCTCATTTTGAGGGGAACAATCTACATGTGTTAATTTGTTTTACAAAACTTGTGGAATGAGATGGACAGAAAAAGGCTCTAGAAAAAGTTTCCAGGGCTCTTCATGTGTGTTCTGATGTTTATCATGTGAAGCATGAAACCTTGCAGTAGTAGTGCTTGTAAACTTGTAAAATTCATTACAGGAAATATATGTACCTGAAATAGAATTAGGATATTAACTAGATGTTTATAGCAGCTGAAAGTTTTAGCTCTTTAATAAATAAATGTAATGGGTGCCACCAAGAGAAAAAGAACTGCAGATTAACTACTTTTAAATAATGTGAGGGGTTTTTATAACTTTGTAATAAGAGGAAGGTGAAAAAATATTTTGGCATCTTCATCGTTCTAGATTTGACTTCCCATTTTTGGGAGTCACAAAGTAACAGGTGCTGAATTCCTTCAGCTAAGAGTTGATAATTAAGATTCCCAAAGAAAGAGAAGTCTTATTTCCTAGATGGTGGAGTTACAGTAGGACTAAGCTATGCTTCATCTCCAGGCTAGCCCTTGGATGAGCTTGTTTCCCTCCAGTGGTTAGAGAGGAAGTTGGTTAAATATATTTGAACGAATTCCCTGATGATCAGATCCTGCCCTGAATGAATTCTCTGTGCTGCTGATGAGGAGAGGACCAAACTCCCTGGCTCTGCTGGCCCAGCTCAGTGTCACCTGTGTGACTTTGAGCCCAGCACTTCCTCACTTGGAATTTTGCAGCTCCCTGCAGGTTTATCAGAAGCCAGGCACATCTTAATCAGAGCTGGGGGCATTGACTTTGAGCGCAGGCACTGAAACAACTGTTGCTGCTCTTGACAAGATGGATAGATACATTGATTAACCTTGCTGCCTGAAGTAATTCTCCTCAGATGTTTTAATTCCTGCTGCAGGTTCAAAATAAAGAGAGCTGCACTGAGCAGGCTGACCTTTTTGGGTCATGGGCCAGTGAAGACTCACAAGTTGAGGTTTAGACACAAGGGGGTTTTGAGGTGAGATTTTCAAGTTTTCCTTCAGAGACCTCTGCTGCTGTTTCCTCTGATGGACTCAGCTGGAGGAGCATGGTGCCCTTGAAAATGTTGTCTTGATGGGTTCTTGTTTTCCATATGGGAAGAAAAGGACATTTTAGCAAGTGTCCAGGATTTTAACCTTGTAACCTGTGGCTACATCTACTTTTTCATCTTTTACCTTTCCCGTTTTTACACAGTAAAAGAATTTTCTCTCTTGTCTAAATGCTGTCTTAGAGGAAGGAAAGTTGTGGCCATTATCTGCTTCTCTGAGTAAAATTCTCAGGTTTGCTAAAAGTGCATCTTAATTGTCACATTGAAACGTTCCCAAGCTTACTGGCTGCCCTCAGGGCTTGGCACTCCTGCATGCATGGAAAAGGTGTAGCTGGCAGGGAAAAGTCTGTCAAAAATGAGTTGTGTGGGTGGATTCTGATAAAAATCTGAAGATCAGCTCTGTTCTCTTTGATTTCTAATGTGAAAGATAAAAAGCAAAATCCAATATATGGGGAGGGGGAAGTGATTTTTAATTTCCTCAAATGGGAGTGAGGCCAAGAGATAGTGCATCAGGCTTTCTTGCTGGTTTGGTGTCCATGAGAAGACAAGGTTGCACATCCCTGCTTTGCTTGAATTTAGCAGTTAAGTCCATATATGTGGGTGCACTGTGGTTGTCAATATATACTTGGCTCACTGCTTATCATAATCAAGACTCATAAAAGAATTGAGCAAGGTCATATGTGTGCTCCCAAGAGAAATAGGTTTGGTATAATTCTCAGGAGTTTTCACCTGGTCTTATCATTGTCTGAAGCAGTGTCCTGGTGTTCCCACATTATTTTGGACAGGATTTCAGAGCAGCTTTGAAAGCTGTGATCAGCTTTGATCCTCCTTGTGCTGAAGCTTTTCTTTATTGATTGTTTTCCCAAAAAGTCTCAATTCTGTTAAAATGGCTTATCTTTTTCCACCCTTGTATTTTCTTCTTTCCTTTCTCAACTGTTTTTGGTCAGCTACCACCCTTGGGAAGTCCTCAGCTTGTTTCTAGAGGAATTGCTATTTCCATGGCATTGTCTTTGTTTAACTAGACTTGGAATCAGACTTTCTGCATTTGGGGGCTGCTCACCTCATCTGGTTTGAGGCATTGGTTGTTTCTTTTCTTCTTATTATTTGTCCCAGGATATTTTTTCTCCTGGGGTGTGGGCACAGTTTTGTCACCATTATCTACAAGTGTCTGATTATTCAGTGTCATTTACACCATTCACCTGTTCAGGTTTTTTTGGTATTAAATAAAAGAAATCTTATTGAGGGAAAAATTGTATTTAATGTGGTATTTTCCTGAAGTATGTGTTTGTATACCAGCTCACAGTTCAGTCTTTGACCCAAAAATGCCTCAAAAACATATGATTCAATGGGATTTATCTTCCAGACAGTTAATTAATAGCAAATGAACCTCTTGTGTAGCTTCTTCTTTCAGAAACGTGGTGGTACCAGGTTTGAAGAATACTTCTGTGCTGCAAGATTTTTGAGTTTTCTCCTTACTCTTTTAATTTGGAGTAGGTGAATACAACTTGCATATCTCATTTCTATACTCATAGGTTGTATTTCATGTGTCCGAGTAAGGACTTGGCAGATCTTGTAGTGGGAAATAAGCAGTTTATTTAAATTCAGTTTTGGTGGTAAAGTGATAAAGAGCCTCTGTTCCCTCCATCCAACAGCAGTTGTGAAGCTTTCAGGCTTTAAGCCACTATTTTACCTTTGTTTGGTCAAAATTTGTCAACAGGTTTATAAGGAAGGGCACATAAACAAGCAAGAAATGATCCTTAAGAAAGAGACTGAAAAGCAGTGGCTCAGTGACACCCCCAAATTCTCTTACCTGCTAAATGAATTAGCAGGAATGTTTCTAAAATTACAGCCCAGTCATTAATTCAGGCTGTTACTGCTGGTTCACACAAGCATCATGCCAAGTGTCTAACAGGCCCTTTTGATGTGGGGTAACCCATTCTGTGTGCAATTGCAGCATTTTCACAGCAGTGCTGAGCACAGGAATTCTGAATGGATGCTGCTTTGTACTTGTCACTGTGGTGTAAAAAATACCTTCAGCTAACTGAGAATACAACAATAAGCGAAAAGCAAAAATTGTGTTGTGGGCGGCTTCCTGAACCTAAAGTTAAGACATTTTTGTAATGTTATTTTTATTTAGACTCTGGATTTATAAGTCTACACATTCTCCCACTAGCAGTATGTCACTTTTGATGTTGATTTTTTCCCCTTTTTCCTGTTGTTCTCTGCAGGTCTGCTGTTCAAGCCCTGCGTCCTGGTGGCTCCTTGGTCTATTCCACGTGCACCCTCTCCAGGGCAGAAAACAGTGATGTGATCAATCTCATGCTGAGCTCCTGCAGGAATGTGATGCCTGTAGATATAAGTGGACTGGCCAGAGGTGTTTCCCAGGAATTCACTTTTCTCAGTGGAATGCAGCAGCATGAACTGCTGGTTCTCCCAGAGAAAGGGAGAGCGTGGGGTCCCATGTATGTGGCTAAATTAAAGAAAGTGTCCTCTAGCTGATGCCTGTTGGTAATGAACAGTATATGATGAATTAATATTGATTTAAATACAGTATGTGAACACATCCAAGGCAACTGAATTTAGAGTGTTGCAGTTTCCTGATCAAAAGGGAGCAAGAAATTTAACTTATTTGAACTTAAAATACTGAATGTGCCTTCCAGCATGAGCATGTGAGCCTCTGAGAAGTCCTTAGGAAGTTTGTATAGTTTTCAAGGTGGTGCTTTTAAAGGGATTTGGATTCTAGAGTTGGGGCTTAATGTGGTAGAGTTTTGCACTGGTTTTGGTTTATTTATTTACTAACTTGGTTCTTATACAGCTTGTTTATAATAAATGGTTTTCAGTGGTCTGAAGTCACGGAAATCCTGCATTCTCTCTAAACACATCTAGAAATCTGTGTTTCTGCAAGAACTGATTTGTATGGACAGTGTCATCTTCAAGCACTGGCAGAACAGGTTTCATATTGGCTAAGTTGTTTGCTTAAAAAACAAAGGTGTCTTTTGTTTATAGATGAAAAGGTCAGCAGTTAGATCAACATCAGTTTGTTTTTCTTAATTTATTAGTAGTATTCTATTTTGAGCTTGCAAAAATATGAATTGAAAGAGTAATGGTACATATATTCCAGCCTATGCTTGTCTTGAAGCAGAGTGGAACCCTTTCATCCCCAAGGGTTCTTTCCCAGATGGAAGGTGATAATCACTGGTTTTAAAAACTTTTAAAAGTTTTTAAATGTCTCATTACTCTCACTGTGAAGAATTTTTTAATATCAAATCCAAATCTGCCTTCCTTCAGTTTGCAAACATTTAGTATATTTCATGTGTATATCACAGAGTTTGCCCTCAGAACAAACCTTCTGAGGCAAACAAATGCATCAGAGGTTCTGAAACCTCACCCTTTGTTGTGTGAGCTTTCACAGTTATCCTTTCCCCTGCGTTGAGATGAAAAATGTTTGAGGTGGCCCTGCAGTGTTAAATTGTCAGCAATGTCTCTGAAAACTGTAGAGGCTGTAAAGTTGATGCACTTTGAGGATGCAGAGGATACTGTAAAAAGGCCTCACAGCATCTGTCCCAGGAATATTAAATGTAATATCCAGATTTGGAGTCATGTTAGGCTGCTGGGTGAAATAACCATACCTTTGGCAGAATGCTTCCCTTCAGTTTCATTTGCCCTGTGGAAATTGAAACGGAAAGGCAAGAATGTAACTTGTTCAGGGATGGAATTGAAATATGTGCTTGAATTGGATGGTTGAGGAGGACGTGGACTGGGTAATCACAGGAAGAACAAAGAGGCCCTTGAAAGCTGAACTCAGTCTCAGCAGATGGCAAATTCCTGTGAGCTGTTTTAGACCTGTGTCTAAAAGCTGCACTGAGTTCTGCATAACCTTTTGCTGATCTCCTGGAGTCCCTTTCCAGTCCCAACCAGTCTAAAAATGCACCAACAAGAGAGGTAAAAACAAGGGTAATTAATAACTGATACTTATTTTTGTTCGTACTTGATTAATTCTGGTTTATACTCTATTCCAAAGTGCTGTGGAGTTGTTTTTTTCCTTCTGTTCTAATCAGTTCTGGCTGGTGACAGGAAATTGGTGAGCACATGTGGAGTGAGAAGGGAAAAGCAGAAAGGATGGAGGCAGGCCTGTTGAGGTGAGGGGCAAAATTTTCACATGTTGGCAAGTACTGTCCCCTCAAAGGTGCTTTTTGAAAGGCTTCTTGTCCATTCAAGTATCTCTTGGATACTTCTGACTTCTGCTCCCCTTCATTACAAGGCTGCAACAGTTTTCCTTTTTACACCTTTTTTTTTCAGCTAGTTAATTGTAATTTAATTCCTTGCCACATCCTTCCTTCTCTTTCCTGAGCAGTGCTGATGGAGATGGGGTGGAAAACAAATCAACCGTTCTATCATAGAAGAAATTGCAGCCCCAAGCAAGTTGAGGGCAGGAAAATGACCAATTTTTGTTGCATTGAGGAGTCCCAGAGAAATCTTCATGATCTCTAATGAAGATTAGAGATCCACAGTTGTATGTATAGCACACACCAGTGCCAGCACCTCAGAGGCAACAGAAAGCTCTGGAGTTCAGCTGCCCTCATGCTTTTCTGCCATTCCCTTTTCCAGCATCCAAAAAGTCACTTCCCTGTGTCAGGGGGGTTGGCAAAATAAGAAATTGGAAAGCCTTATCTAAAGGCAATTTCAGTATTTACCAAATTTTATCCTTTATTCAGTGGCATCTGACACAGTTCAATTATGGCTTGTCAAAAGCATTCTCCACTGTGGAATGGAGTGGAAAAACAGATTACACAATGTGTTTGGGCTGATGCAGCTGACCAGGGGACTAATGAACTCTTGGCTGTCTCAGTAAAGTGTGGGAAGGGAAGGTTGAAGGAGGGGCAGAATGAAAAGATCAGGACTTGCAGCAGTGGGAGAAAAATGTGACATACTGTGGCTTTTAGCATGGAACAGCAGCAGTGGCTGCAGCCTGTTCAGGAAAAGCTCTGTGAGTGGAGAGGGGAGAGAGCCACAGGTACTGGGCTGGGAGTATCCTTTCATTTCATTTGACTGTCTTAGAAGGAGAATTGAAGACATCAGTTGTGAAAACTGCAGTGGGATTGCTTTATATTTGCAGGGTCTATAACCTAGCTATAAGAATTCAAATAAAACACGTCTACCTGCTTCTTGCCAAACAAATGGCTGTATTGGTAGATGTTCCTATCAGAGAAGTTTATTTGGTGAGTGGGAGAAAAATCTGAGACTCAGGCCTGGCTGTAGTAGAACTTCTAAGCTGATGTAACTTTACGCAGTATTGGCTATAAATGAGATTGTTCTGGGAGAAATTGGAACAGCACCTGCTGGTAGTCTCTTAACTTCCAGGGAAAAGTGAAATCTGGAGTTCTCTGATTGCCAAACCTGGCTCAGAGCACACAGGGCACCCAGTCACTGGTCACCACTTTTAGATGTCACCCCACCATGTGATTCCTGACTGAAGACTGGTGTTTATCACTTGTCAGAAAATGTTTTCCTTGTCTGATCTTTGTGTCTGCATGCTGTGACTTGAGGTCAAGGTCTAATGACCTTGGAAGTTTTTATTTTTTTACTAGTTGTACATAGTTTTTGGCAGGGTCAGGCATCATGCACCTTCCACAGCTCCATCTCAAAAATGTTTTATGTGCCACCAAAACAAAATGCATGGATCAAAAAGTTGCAGCTGCTCTTGAGGGGAAGAGGTGAACATAAACCTGGGTCAGTTTTTTGTACTCCACTGAGGAATTTCTGCTGCCTACAGCTGTATCCAAGGTGGTTCTTCCCATCAGGGTTTTCTGCTGTTTCTGAAATGGCCCTATGGTCACCATGGTGTCATGGTGATGTGACCTTTGTCACACCCTTCAGAGGAAAAAGAAATGGATCTGCTGCCCTAAACCCTAAACAGGTAATAATCCTATAGGGAGAGGTGCTGCAAATGTTACTGCAGAACTATTTTTTACAGATGATAAAGTCACTAGGAGGCAGCACAGCAATCCAAATTTGAATGGAGCTGGCACTTCATCTGGTCAGTGACATTCTCACCTTGTTCTTTCCAAAATGATGCTTCCCTGACATGAAGCTTTCATCTTTGAGGACCACAAGCATTTGGCCTGACCTCACCTCTGACAAGGCAAATCAAATAAAGCAGTCAGAACAGACAAGGGGCTTGTTTGCATGCAGTGTCAGAGCAGATCTTGCAGCCATCCACAAGAGATTTGTGTTGATGTTGCTGTGTCTCAGTCTCCTGTGCTGCTTTTGGGTAATTCTTGTACAGCAGCATCTGTGTTGGGGATGGGCCCTGACACGATTCCTGCTGATTCTTCCCCCGTCTCCAGTAAATTCCTTTGCTGCTAGGGAGATCTTTAGAGTCACATACCTTCAGTGAGAACCTGGGAATAGCTTTCAAACCACCTTTTGATGTCATTTGGCCAAACTTCTGTCTCAGAATAAGTTCTGTGGTAACATTTATTGTAACCTGCTCGAAGTCCCTTGATCTGAGGGTGCCTCAAAACATAGCGCATCTTTTAGATCTACTTTTTCCTCCTTAATGTACTGGGTCCTTATTGAACATCCTATCCTAAAAAATAGAGGAGCCTGGGTGCTCTCTACCCTAACCAAAACAGGGTAAAGCCCAGAAGTGTGATGAGGCAGTGGGGAGAAGGTGGGAGAGGAGCCCAGGGATTTCAGCCTTGTGGAGAACCATCCCACCACTAACAAATCAGCAGCTCCTCTTGCCTGCATTTGGATGTGGTGGGCTGTGAAAAGCAGGGAAAAATGTCACTGATAGAGTTCGCAAAAAGTATTTTATAATTGTCCCAAAGTGGAATAAAATGCTAAGAGCAAATTCAGAGCTATATATATTTTTTTCTTTTTATTTTGCTTTGTTGATTTACTCTAGGAAAAAATCTTATCTTGTCTGAATGTGTGATTAAGTAGCTGATGGAGTAATTCTTTACAGGGAGGAGAACATGCCAGAACATTTGAGTGGTGTAAAACAGGGCTGCAGAGAGGATTAGAAAAGGTTCAAGGAGGAGTAATTTTGTATTGGTGGAAAGTAGATTTAATAGTACTTTTTTATCTGTAATTTTTATGATTCTGTGGCTAACCAGGGAAATGTTTAATGTTCCTTGTACAGCAGTGAAGGTAGAAGAAGGCAAATTGACATCCCCAGCACTGTTATAATTCATTCCATTACTTCAACAGGGCTTTTATATTGTCACGCCCATAAAGCGCCAGTGTGCACGCTCAGAGCCAATCCATCTTTATATACTGCTGCTGATCCCATTGAAGGCAATGGCAAAACTCCCATCAATTTTAATGGCACTGGGATATGGCCCATTTTGTAGATATACAATGGATATTTCCTGCACGCACCATTTTTTGTGTGTAACGTGCTCCTCAGCCGAGGTTCAGAGAGTGTTTTATAAAGTGGTGAAGTCACAACCATTGATGTAGTCTCCAGCTGATGAGATAATGTGATCTGCCTTCAAAGCAGGATTTAAAGGTTGGCATTTATTTATCTACCTGTTTTTTAATTTGTTAGGGGCATAGGATGCACGCAGAACGTCTCCATGTGTAGAGTACTGCCTTTGAAAAATTTGCCCAGATAAATTGCAGGAGGTAACTGTTTTAGAAATAGATGCTGCACTTGCAAGGTTAACATTATGCTACAGCACTTAAAAACTAGAAAGCATCAAAGAAAATTGAAGGCAGTATGGATCAGTGGGTTAGTACATAAAAGAGCAGTCTGCAGAAGCAGAGGCTAAGAAAGGTCCCTTTTGAAAAGCAGTTGTTTGGATAGCAACTTGCTCAATCAGCAAGGTACAAACAAACAACA